TGCTATCATATCTTAGGCATCTCAGATCGTTCACCATTAAATAGTTTTTCTTATTTCCTGGACGTATGGAATTGTACCTTTTTACAGTTGTATTTCGAAATTCAGAAAATACCAATGGTTTTGGGTACTCAACGTCCAAAGGGAATGATCGCATCTCTAACTAGGTTTATGTAAGCGGTAGGACAATGTATGCCTTTCCCTCTACGGCGCCTTTCAGTGAGACAATGAGTCGAGTCACACTGCATTTGAGTGTAACCCTTCTCCAGATACTTCTGCTCAATCACTATATCATACCGTGTGGCCATAGAGACAAGGCATTGGACAATGTGCTGATTTTGTTTTGGTATCCGCAACTATCTGACCACAACACAATCGGTTTAGCTAGAGTATTTAAAGCAGACTCTCCTTCAGATCTTTCCGTTTATTTAGAGTAATGCTGTAGCTCATTTGCTAAATGTCACTTTACAGAATGCGCCAAGTGAATCTATCTGAATTGTTCTCATGTCGCAGTACCGAACGGTACGGAACCGCCCCCTCACTCACTCACAGTCGTTATTAATGATGAAGCGTAAGCCAGCTAACTCTTTGGAATAGTTCGGTAACGTTCGATCCTGCGACCTGCGACCCAGACACAACCCTTGAGTATGTTTTAGAATGCCATTTCAATAAACCGATAATCACTGACAATGAATACAACCTGCTGAAGCGTATTCAAGATAGCGCTAAAGTCCAACAGCTCAGTGTAATAAACGGAGCCTATGTGTCGGTGAAAGACAGAGTAAAGCCATAAGTACCATGTATGGTACTATGGGTGACAAAAATCCAAGTTAAGTGTCAAGCAACAGCAGAAATAAATATCTAGAAGATCCATTAGCATTGGGATCGTTGTACGTTAATTTTGATTTATCGTATACTAACAGAACAGTTACAAGATCCAATAGGCTGTAACCAACATTCACTTTTTAATCAAACTTCCGAGCATTAAACTAATGACGCCTTCGAATCGAAGTATACATTTCTGATAACATTTCTTAAGGCTGCTGCACAATTGCCCGGGAACGGGAACGAGAACGGAAACGGAAACGAGAGAAAAGTTCAATTACATATAATCCAATACATACATGCACAACAAACGGAAACGGCAACGGTAACGGGAACGAAAACGGAAGAGTTGGCCAAGATTCAACTTTCCCGTTCCGTCGCCTTCTCGGAGCCAATCAGAATGCTCAGAACCAGGACATGCGCATTACAGTATTAACCTAAAAATTGAGTTTTGTTTATTTTGGTCTTTGTTTGGAGTAGTAACGCTAACGCTACGATTTCATTATGAATGACGAATTATTGATTCAATTAGTGGAAAAGTGCCCACACATTTACAATAAAACGTTGAAGGAATACAAAGATGATAAAATGAAAGATAATAGTTGGCTATCAATAGCAGAGTTTCTCGATTCGGAACGTAAGTATGAACATGTGGTGCTTAGCGTCCTTAGCGATACGATTATACATTTTTTGTTTATAATGTGAACAAATGCGAAAAATCTTTTAGCTTTCCACTCATAATGGTATTACAAGATTCCATTTAAATAGCGTAAATTGAAGCTCTTAGTCATTTTGTATTAACTCATTATACGCTGGTTTATGTTAGTGCACAGAATTTATAATTCAACAATACATGATAAAACTTCATAACAGATTTAACTCTTTTGCAGCAGCCATAGTGAAAAAGAGGTGGGACAACCTGAGAGACAGGTTTGTTCGAGCCTATAGACAATACAATACTGTGCTTCCTTCAGGTTCAGGTGGAGGAACACAACAACAACCGGACTTCCCATACTTTGAAATAATGATGTGGTTAATACCATTCATCAGGAAGAGAAAGTAAGTCATACAGTGTAATTGAATCATTTTGAGGTCTACATAGTGCCACCCATTGTAGGCTGGCGCTGAGAGTTCAGTGTGTACTTTTTGTCACCCAATTATTAAACCTTCATTTATAAGTACTTCAATAAAAATTACACCTGAAGTTTATAATGGTCAGGTGGAATGAACTATTTGTTTTTGATTTTTATGAATATACCAGTCCTCTTTGTATGTTAAGACAACTCTATTATATTTCAGGCTGATATCCTCGACTGCCCCAGAAAGTGCCATACATTGAGGAGGTTGAGTCTGAACCATTACTAGATGATTATGTTGTGGGATCAGATGGTGTATTGTCACCTGAGCCTACCCAGTCTAGACCTACCAGCTCACATTCATCCAGACCTGATAGTGCATGTGGACACAAAAAGAGCATCCAGGAGTCAATGGCCACAGCTTTACAAAATTTTTCAAAAATATGTGAGAAAAGATTTGGTGAAAATACTGAAAACAGTGACACACATTTTATGAAGTCCATTCTCGATGACATGCAACATCTGCCACTGAAGAAAAAAATTAAATTTAAAAAAGAAGTCATGGAGTTACTAGTTAAATATATTGAGAATGAAGATATCTGAAATATATTATGTCATTCTTTTAATGTGTAGGAATAAAATATACAAAAATGTATACTTGCTACTTTTATTTATAAAAATTGATACTAAAAAATACTACTATGCTTTTAATTTCCATACAATAGACAGTATGCTAGCATATTTCAAAATCTTCCTCTGTTAACATATGCCATTTGCCATGACACTGCTCCAGCATCTGATATCAAATATTCTGCTAGCTTGTCTCTCAAAGCCATAGTTGCACTGGCTGATATATTTGCTCCCACTCTGCCAATTGGTGTCAAGTTGGTGTCATTTTGGATGATTTCTCTCCATTCACCATCCCTATTTGTTCCACCATCATCCTTCAAGGAGTCTATTAATGTAGGTGGTACATATGTCGTTGGTGCCTCAGTTTTCAAATAATTATGTAGGCATATTGTAGCTTTTACCACAGCCTCTGTTGTTTTTATGGAGCATAGCAGAGGAGAGCGATAAACTCTCCATCTACTTGCAAGTATCCCAAAACTATTTTCTATGACACGTCTTGCTCGTGATAATCTGCAACAAAATTTGTCAGAAATATTCATTTTGTGCTGTTTCCACATACCTACCTGTAGTTGAAAACTGATTTCTGTTCGGTTAGTTGCCTCCCTGGATATGGCCTCATTAGATATGGTTTCAAAGGGAAAGCTTCGTCGCCAACAAAAAAATAGGGCATTTCAACATTGCTACTTGGCAATTGATCTACCTTTGGCAACTGAACTGATCCTTCATCTAACTGTTTTCCCATCTGAGATCTCCGAAATACACTAGCATCATGTTCAGAGCCATACGCACCAATATCTGCCCAAATAAATTTATAATCAGCATCACAGCATGCTAGTAAGATAATGCTAAAGTGGTTTTTATAATTATAATACAATGACCCACTATTCAATGGGCATTGAATGTGAACATGTTTTCCATCAATGGCCCCAAGTGTATGTGGAAAATTCCATCTATTTGAAAACTGGTGGCTGATATTAATCCACTCTTGTTCAGTAGGGGATTTCAAGTAAATAGGTTGCATTGTATCCCAAATTGCGGTGCATGTTTCAAAGATCACTTTTGAAACAGTTGAATGTCCAACGCGGAATTCCCATGACAAACTTTGAAATGATCCTCCATGAGCCAGAAACTTCAAAGTCATAGCCAACTTTAATGCAGGGCTTAAATATTCTCTCCTACTATGTTTTAGTAGTTTTGGCTTGAGGAGACACAGGATACTGTCAAACTGATCTGGTAGCATTCTTGTATACTTAAAAAACATTTCAGGATCCTTTGTTTTCATATGGGTAAAAATATTTCGAAAAGCCCCTTTCTCATTCCTTTCTCTGAATATTGGTCTGACCCACCATCTATAAAATATACAAATTCCAATTAGTATGTGATACATTGTTTTTTCAAATTTGGCCTACCTTCTATTTTCTTGTGTCATTAGATACAAAAAGACACATTCCAAAAAAAGAAAGGACAGAAAGAGAAACTGTTCGTCAAAATCCATTTTTTTTTTTGGATAAATAGTCTAAAAATGAAAAAATCAACTATTTTTTACCACAACTGTTTACGAGCAGCGAGGAACTGTCAAAATTGCATAAAGTAAGGTTAGGTACAAAAATTCTGTCATAGTTGTCAACTGCTTCCGATGTGCTCCCGTTAATTGTGCATCTGCCGAAGTCTCTCGTTCCCGTTCTCGTTTCCGTTTGCGTTCTCGTTCCCGTTACCGGGCAATTGTGCAGCGGCCTTTAGACACTTACCCTGGCGTAACGCATTATTGTCAAAACACCATATTTGGTCAAATAAAGAGAGCACTGTTTAGCAACCAACACAAGCACGTTCAGTGAATGAAGTGGATGTTGAGGTTGAGCTTATTGGAATCGAAAATAACAGCTGATTTAGATACGACATATTAGAATATGCGCAAAAATGGTGGTTTTATTAGCAGGTTGGCCACGACAAATAGTCGCATGATAGAAACACCCTTTTTCATTTGACATCCATCAAAATCTGGATTTTGACATTTTGGGGGATACGTCGTATTAGAACTAAGCCATCGATATGTAAATTTCAGAATGGATAAGAAAAAATGAATACACAACTAATTTCTAGCTTTAAATCTCAAGTAAGTGTATATTATTAGCACCCAAATCTTCACTATGCACCTATGCATGCACCCTTACCTCCAGTAATGCCAACTCTGAAGCAGATTTTACATCACATCAGAGTCAAACATTGATAACTGAAGCCTCATGACGTATAGGCAACACGTACAACTACAAAACGAGCTAGTGCGAAGTTAACATCTTGTAGAAAAACCTACATAATGTCACAAAAAAACAACATAATGCCAAAAAAATCGACATAATGTCACTTTTTAAGATACGTAATACCCGTGCGGTGTCAAGACGTTGCTGAAAGGAATTAATGGGTTCGCGGATGCTCAGTGATGTGGACGGAAAAAACAATGCGGCGAACAGGATTGAAGAGTTGATTGCATTTATTCCAGTAAATTATGGAATGTAATAATACTAAAGTTTTGAAACTCTTGCAATAGTTTGAGAAATTACCATTTACCGATTATTCAAAATCTAAAAAAAAAATTAAAAATCTGATGGGATCATTTCGTCGCGAAAAAAGCAAAATAAATGTTGACTCTCTGAAAAGATACTGCAAGCTGCTGTAGGAGTTTCCAGTTGCCAAAAAAAAACGCAAGGCTATGGCTAAACGTTCTCTTGGTGATATAGATTTTCGAAACTGTGTACCATTTTTCATTACCGTTGGTGTTACCAACGTAAGCAGGTATTGAAAGTCAGCCTTGGTCACTCTTGTAAAATTTCTGAATTAATCATACAGACTCTCAGATATTAATTCCTTTAATAAATTATTTTTGTTTTGCGTAGAAATCTACCAACGACGATATCTACGTTTCCGGTTTTCTTTGCTTTTAATTAAAATATACAGTGTAATAAATTAATGTTGCCGCGGCTGTATCTATATTCTCCATGTTACTCTCGTACGCTGGATCAGCCCATGCGTTGAAAAATGAATTACAGTTTAAACACTCTCCACGCACGCGAACGAATGCGTGCGCGTATGCTCAGTGCGTGCGTGTTCATATGTAAACTCACCTTAACATTTACGTATTTACCATGTTTTTGTAAAGAATTTGGGGATTTGGCACCCCCTGAGAAAATTTGCTACCCCCTCTCAGCAGCCATGGTAGCTAAAACCGACTCCGAAACATAGGTATCCGTCGGCCAATATGCTAATTGTTACGTAGAATTACCGGGGTTGGAAGCCAATGAAAAATATCCTTACGTCAAAAAATTGAGATGTATCCTCTCCAGCCCCAACTCCCCCCTTTCAACCCATACATTTTTTTTTCTAAAACGAGGATCTGAAACTCGAAAAACAATTTGAGAGCTTTTGTTTAGTTATGAGGGGTCAAGGATTAGCGAACAGATAGACAAGCAAACAGACAGATAGGCTGACGTTATGTGCATGTCCTACTCGTATAATTTCCAAAAAAGACATTTACAAAATTTTTCGTGAATACAATACTTCATCGCCAGTGGGATGGGAAGTAAAATGCAAATATGACAGGCATACTTTCTATTTAATAAAAAAATAAATTATAAAAGCAAATAAATATCTCGCAGTATCAGAAACATGATTCAAACGTTCTTATACATTCTACAAATTCCTTTAGTGTCTCGATACAGTCCAGGACCACACTGTTCATATTCAGCACCTAAAAGTTTCAACGTATTTTCTTCCTTCCGTACGTTATTCTTCACGTCTTTCTTTTCATCTCCAATTGTATCTTGTTCGAGAGTGACAATGATTTTTTCGTCGGGGACTGTTAGCAGGAAGGCTCGGGCGTTTCTTTTTTGTTTCAGCGGGCCATTCTTCCTGAAAGAAAAACGAAAAAAGGATTCAAATGAATTGATGTGATTAACATTATTAGTGATACGTTAAAAATGAAGATGTCTGGTTTCAGAATGTTTGAGATATGTATAAATGATTGAGCAACTTAAAAACGTCTACAAGCGATGTATCGACTTTGTCAAAACTGCTGTCTCCTCCAGAGAATGTTTCTTTCTTACCCCCTTAATTAGGAGCGCGGAAAACATCGTAATAAAATTCTACACCAGTTAGGTTATTTATCATAATAGGCGCATGCACTAATATTTATGTTTGTAATTTTTGCCATATTAACTCAATAACTACTAACATCAAAATGAGGTTTACAGCACCACGATATTTCCGAAAGAGGCAATTATAGCCCTGTTCATAATCTTTCTAATTCTCTATCGTTTGGCATAGGTAAAAATGTTTTTTTGGAGCTGATATGTCTGTACACATAGATACAATATGGTAATGCTCTCGTAAAACGCGGGGTCACTTCTGGATTCGTCGATTTAAAAAATTAATACATGACAGAGGGTAGATAGAGGCAGAGTCGACCGATGAGTCAACAGCGCGGATCACCATAGTCCAGTCGACATGGTCATACATTTGTTGCAACTGTTGGTTGTAATACATTAGTATCAGGGTAATGAAGTAGGCTTTATACAGGTTGTAAACGTTATGATAGTCATTATTCAAATGGGTGATAGAGGGGGTCAAAGGAAGCAAAACGGCATTTCTTTAGAGAAAAGCGACTTTAAAGTAAAATAAAATCTGACAACGCCGCAATGCCAGACACAAATCACGACGGAACTCAGTGTAAATAAAGATGGAGTTTGTTATTTTTGGCTCTTAGGTATTATTTCATTATCTGATAATGTACTCGTAAAATGCAAACAATTAAAAAAACGGTCTTACCACTAACTGTCTCAGTGCTTCACTTGGTGTGTGAAGGTTTATTGAACGTATTAAAAAAATCCACTTATAAATAGGAAACACAATTTTGATACATACATTGTTTGTCTTTTTAAAACCCACACTGCGCTTTTTGTATTTAAAGGAGGTGTTCAAAATGTCGTCCTCCAGTTTCCACACAGGCTTCATTACGACGAACCCAGTTTTTTCTTACTCTAGGTCCTCGAAGTTGTCCATTTATTATTTCATCCGCATTAATTTTTTTTTTCGCGAACTTGTGCTTCAGTTGTTATTGGACCAGCCCCATTAGCCATCCCTTTAAGTTCTCCCCAATACCAGAAATCCAACGGATTGCGGTCAGGAGATCTTGCTGGCCATTTTCGAGGATCAGGAGCATTTCGACCGATCCAGCGATTTGGATAATGTTCATTCAAATACTGAATGACGCCTCTAAAAATGAGTGGTGGTGCGCCGTCATGAAGAAACCACAAATTCTGTCTCCGTTGTAACGGTATGTTGTCTAAGGTCTATTCCAAAAGTTCCGGTGGGTTATTGGCTAGAAAGCTAAGGTATCCTTCTCCTGACAACTTTGTGGGCAACTCAAAAGGACCAATTACCTGATCGTCAAGAATACCCGCCCAAATATATATTTTAAAACGTGGTTGGAAATGACCTTCACGAATGGTATGAGGATTTTTTTGGGCCCACGTGTGAGTATTATGGAAATTTAATATCCTGTCTCGCGTAAAAGTACATTCGTCCGTCGCTAGAATGTTTTTAAAAAAATCCGGATTTTCAATGTTTTTGTGCAAAAACCACTGACAGAATGTTAGTCTGCGAGGATAGTCTTCTGGTAACAAGGTCTGCACTCGTTGTAGATGGTAGGAATAAAGCAAATTTTCCCGTAGGATTCCATGGATTATGGTATCCAATATTTAAAATTTGTTCCTCCTGCTTTACATTAACCTGTCTTTCACGAGTGCGAATATTAGTGGGCTGAACACTTCCTGTATCTCGAAGTCTTTGGTACACTTGCACAAACGTCCTTCTGTCTGGGTGTACCCTGTGGCGATAAATTTGAGCTGCAAGATTTGAATTCTGACGAGAACATTGTAAATAAACACGATGACGTACGCGAACAAAAACAAAACAACACGCCCGATGCTCTGCTCGACAAAACGATAAAGTAATTTATCTATGCAAAACGATAACTAACCACTGTTACCGTTTGCGATCGATTGCCGGCTCGATAAGAGTGCTGAAAGACCGACACGCTGTTGTCATGTGTGTTTTAAATATTTAATTTAATGAAACTTACTTACTTACTGACTACAAATTTTGGCTTAACTTATTTTTTTTATTTGTTAATTACCCAATTTAAAATCGTTTTAGATTAGATTATAGAAATTAGTAAGATTGTGGAGATTGTGGTCGATATAAAGCACTTAAAGTTGTAAACTTTAAAGCCGTTGAGACAAAAATCTATTGACTTTTCGACCATGGGTCATATGAACTTTTTATCTTTTTTTTGACCCCTCCTATTACCCATTTCAATAATGACTACCATAACGTTTACATCCTGTATAGTAAAAATATTACAATACGGTATTTGTAAGTCGGAGATTTTTTACCCACTTTTACCATAATTCGTTAATACGGAGCAGCAGCGTTTGTAAATGGCGCAAAGCGTGCGCGTCGGGCGCATCGCGTTGTGATGGCGATATTTGGTGTAATGCCAGTCATACTCCAGCAAGATAATTGTCCAAATAAGAAACTTCTGCCGACTGGGAGGGGCTCAGGAACTTCTTCTCCACCTTTCCTTGGAGATATATTTGTTTCGGTGAAACGGATGAATCGGCTGTCTGTTCATGGATAACCGAAATTATCCATGTTGGGATGGAGGAATACATCCCTCATACAACAGCGAAAGTGCCTACGGCGGGCCTACAGCGATCAAGCTTTCTTCTAACACTACACCGGCGGACTTTGGTTCTCAAGACTTTCCTCCGCCGCGTGATGTACCTGCCAGACAGATCCGCCTGACTTCCGGCTCCCAAAACTAACTGTGCCGAACTTTGTACGTCCTGAACTAGCGGATGCAACAGATCGTTTGTCTCGAGGGAGTCGAGATTGTCGAACAATCTACAACAGGAGGTTTCTCCTTAGTCAGTTCAAAACTTGGATTAACAAAATTTCTTTGGGATCCTTATGGAAGAAGCGGGGTCCTGGCATTTAGGCATCTGACTGTGCGGCTGCTTCGGTGTAAAAAAACTTCTTGGTAGCGTAACTTTGTTACTTTTAATGGTATTCAACAACTTGTTCATTGCTGTGCTTCACTTAGACTAGAATTTAAAGAGTGTTTCAACAAATAGGAAACTTCCTAACCCACAGTGTACATGAAAGCAACAATAATGATAGGTTAATGTTACATCAAATTAAAGTTCCTGCTGAATTTATTATTTTCAATATTCAGATGCTCAAATCTTTTCAACAGACATCACAAGCTTCAAGTTTAATAATCTGGTATAGAAAAGATAGTGTAAGCAAAGTTATGATTCCATGGCCAACTGGTTTCATTCATTTTCGATATTTTGTTTTTTCATTTTTTGCCAGGTTTTCGTTGATGAAAATTACAGTCAACGGAGATCGCTACAGAGACATGCTGCAACGTTATTTTTTTGGTCAATTGGATGGGCTTGACATTAATATGTGGTTTCGACAAGACGGTGCCACAAGCCACCCAGCCGGGGAAATAATCGACATATTTCAGTCTAAATTCGGTGAACGTGTTATATCGAGAAATGGTCCTGTCGAATGGCTGCCTAGATCGTGCGATTTAACACATCTTTTTCTGTGGGGCTGCATTAAATCGCTGGTCTATGCCAACAAGCCGACGTTGTTAGAGGAGCTCAGAGCCAATATTGAACGAGAGATAGCGTTTCTGTCTGTCGAAATGTGTGGCCGACTCATTCAAAATTGGGATCAACGAATCGATCGCTGCGAAAGTACCCGTGGTGGATATATGAACG